TTTTAACCCCTTACTTCCTCCAAGCTTCTTCGAGGAGATTCAGGTTAGCATTATGCACACTCGAGAACAACGTGCCACGTTTCTCTTTCCAACCCTCGACATCTTGTCCCCCCACCCCCCTCTCCTTAGCCACCATGTTTCATTTTCAACACCTCATCCCAAGCGTCGTCCAGACCTTCATCATTCCAACCCACCCCTGTTAGATTTTTACGATCTCGATATCTCTGCTCGTTGCAGGTAGTATCGTAAAGCCGAAATAAAGTGCAACACATTGCAGGGGTTGTTTGCCAACTACCACTTAGGCTTTACTTAACTTAACTTAAGTTAACTTAAGTTAACATTAGGTATACCTAGGCGTGAAAAATTTCAGTTTTACCCCCCATAGTGTGATAATTAGTTTTTCTTTTACATTATCTTACGAACTAACCCTTTACTTTTCGTTTTATTTTACGTGTACGCGTGTGTAAATTTGTTTTATTCTTTTCTATTTCTGCTTTTGTTCCTTAGTATAATACCTGTGATCTCTATTTTTTTTAATTTTCGAGGTAATACTTCTTTTGGCGCGATTTTAGAAAGTGAATTTAGGATGCGACCGAAAAATCGACACCACGAAGTTGTCGATACTTACGATGCGCGGGAAAAACGAATTCAAATTTACGGCATGAAGTAATTCGTAAATAAATAAATTAAATTGTACATATTAATTAAAAACTTTACCAATGGTATTTAATAATCTTCTTTTATTTTATTATATTATCTTATTATCGACAAATGTAGAGTATTATATTGGTACGCGAGATAATTGAAGTTATTTTTGAGGTTATTTAGGTTATGTTCGTTTCGGTACGCTAAAGAAATATAACTTCTTACGTACGTACATAAGTACACACATCAGTTTTTTTTTATTTTTATTAATATTTGATCTGTTTCTCGTTCATCCAGGTTCATCCTCTCGTGCAAAAGATTTATCGTCGTTACGCGTACGTATATTAAAATTCGACTTTACCTATGTCGATATAAACGGTAGAACAGACGCGCGCGCGCGCGCAAAGTCAAAACGATGAGAATGAGAATGAGAGAGAGAGAGAGAGAGAGAGAGAGAGAGAGGATTATTGAAATTATTCCTAGCACCACGTTGGATGGATATCGCTTGATAACCCACGACCACCACCACCACCATCACCATTACCACCCCCATCCCATACCATCCTCTCACAAACTTACTCGTATACATTTACGCATCCATACGTTTTTCTGTGTATACGTGTAAGTTAACGTGAATGTGTATTATGGAAAGAAAGAGAGGAAGCTAATGCATTCCTCGAGTTATTCATGAATTTACTTGCTAATATCCTACCCGAACATTTTCCTTTTATTTTCATCATTCTCTTTCTATACGCTGTATTTTTTTTTATCATTTTTTTTTTCTCATATACACTCTTTGATACTATTCGATATCGATAAAAACATGTCTCTCTTGGTATGCAAATGTTCCTCTCTTTCACCATAGCATAATCTTCTGCAACCTTTCATCCTCTCTCTCTCTCTCTCTCTCTCTTTCTTTCTTTGAGATAATTTGTACAAAACAACTTGCGCGCCGATTTCCATCAACGTTTTCGTTCGTTCGTTCGTTCGGGATTCTCATTCGTTCTCTCTCGAATTTCAAATCAACTTGTGCATACCATCAAACCGGTTACAATGCTTACTTCGAAAGGCAATTATTTAATCCATCGATGTGCAACCTACCCCCTTCCCTTTCCTTCCTCCTACTCATCCTCCCCTTTCACCTACCTACCCCCCCCACCCCATCCCGAGGAATAATAATAAATTCTGTTTGTCTGAGGAGCGACTATTAGTATCGAAAAAATCAAATAAAAAGAAACAAAAGCAAGGAATAAGAAAATGAAATCAAATGAAATAAAACGAGAGATCACAGATAGGATTCCGGGCAACGGGTGGTGATTGTGTTTAATAATTCAAATCGAAAATCGTAAAAAATACGAATTGTTAAGTATCCCTTTTTTTAAACTTGATATTTCATTTTTACATCTCAGTCAGTCAGTCAGCCAGTCAGAGTTAGTTTATAAACGTGAAAAAATAAAAAACGGGTCAGAGATATTATTAGGGGAGAATAATTGTTTATAGCTAACAAATTTGTCTTGAAGATTTTTAGACAATGGAAAATATCCCTATATATACTCGAACAATAAAGAAAATATATTTGAAATTAGTTTGTTAACCTTTGAATCAAATTTAATGCATCAAATCGTATGCTAGATTGTGTTAATTAATTTCCAGAAATAAAACAATGCGAAAAAAAGAAATAAAAAATATGGGGAAAAATTGTATAAAATTGGACAACCAGGAACTTTTTTTTTCTCTCGTAACAATTCGAAAAAAGAAACGAAATCGCACGTGCGATATCTTTTCTTAAAACTCGGCTCTTTGCCCGAGAATTAGATAACAACGATTGATTCGCTATTTAGAGAACTTCCTGCTAACCCATCGTGAATGTTCTACATTAAAATCGAATAATGACCGTCATTATCTCCGATCATTCTTGTGCCGCGAAGCAGCTGTTCGTAGAGTACTCTTGTCTCGTTTCTGGCCAACCCTACCCCTCCCCCACTACCCTTACCCCATACTTTTCCCCTTTGTCTCTTTTTCTTCTCTCATTCTCTTAAAATTGCGGGCGTGAGAAGACAAAGAACAACAAAAAGTGAGAAACTAAACGTAAAAATAAAGAAAACTGAAAAAAAAGATTTCTGCAATACAACACAGAAAGTTAAGTTGCTATTTTTGATTTTGAAAACGAATCTTTCGTCTTGTGTCCGAAGTAAAGAGACATTAATTACGAATAAAAGTAATAAAAACAATAAGAAGAAAGAGTAAGAGAAAGAGAAAGAGAGATAGAAGAAGATGATGATGAAGATGAAGAAAAAGAGATGCAAGTGAAAGAGGGAAAGGAGTTTAAAAACGATTCTCGGTTATTTACTCGACCGATAAATATACGATAATGTTATTGCCGTTAAAGCACGACACACAGTGTGCACGAAGCTTTCGAAATTTGAACGTGGTATAGTATAGTAGTAGTGGGGTTAAAAAGTGGGGTAGGGGGGAGTAAAGGGTTGGTATAGTGAATCGTAATAAAAGGTCTTCGTGAAAAGCGAGTAAAGCACACGGACAGAAAGTTCTCTTTATCTTTCTATTTCTTCTTGTTCTATATTCTTCTTTTTGTTTTACTTGTTCTTGTTCTTCTTGGTCTTCTTCTCTCCACCAACTCAGATCGCATTCCGGCGTCTTAACGACCCGCGCAACGGGGACCGAAAGTCCGAGATGCCGCAAGCTCGACGTTTCTAAATATAACGAGAAAACGTATATCTATTCGACATCGAGACCGAAACTTGCCTCGTGTTAAGAACAGTCTTTAAATCGGACCTCGACCCTCGGCTCCCTGTTAAAAAGGGGGAAAAAAATAGTGACACGAAGGAATAAAAAAAAGGAATTACTTTTTTTTACCTCGTTTCAAAATAATATCCCGTGTTTGCATTTAAATATTTTAATCGATAATTTGTGTGTATCCAATTATATCATTGAAATCATTTAATCAATGTACATATTATATTTTGCAATCATTAATAATAATAGTAATATTTTTAATCTTATGGATTATAACGCTGATTTTTCTAATCTTTATGCAAATTTTATTTACTTGCAATTATTAATGAACGGATTTTCAACGTTGCAACGAGAAGTTGAAGATTAAATATTCACTTGCCGCTAATAAATGATTATATATTCGATTATTAAAAATAATTTAAAAAAAAGGAATGAACGGAGAGATTCAATTCGAAAACAATAAATGAGATATTTCTTTAATTAACAAAAGTAATATCAAAAATTGCATTCACTTGCAGCTAATGAATGGATCTTCAACGTTGGCGAAAAATTGACGATGAAACGTTAAAATCTTTTGAAAGGAAACAAAAAATATTACCACGTATAAGATTCTACAATTTATTCTTATAAGAAAAAAATAAAAATAAAATAGAAAACAACAACAACCCTTTTAATTTAACAATAATATCGTAAACATTATTTAACACTTAATTAGAAATTGCAATCAATCGATCGTTTATCGATTAAAAATGTAAACCTATTTTAAAAGAATCATTCGAATGGGGGTAAAAAGCAGACACGTACAAACAGATAGATTGAGAAAGAGAATAAAAAAAAAAGGGGTAAGGGATTTTTGTAACGACGAAAGGGAAGCGTGATTCGTGGCGTTTATCGCAAATCAGAAAAGGTGAAGTGCGCTACGTTAGCGCGGCCACCGCAACGAGTTGCGCTCGCGGTATTCGGTTGTAAAACACAGGGGGTTGTGAATATCTATCTCTATCTCACCCTTTCCTTCCTATTCCTTCCTTCCTTTTCCTTCCTCTTCCTCATCCTTTTCCACCCACCTTTCCCTCGTATTCGCGTTCACGTTTCACGTTGATAGTATTCGCGCGCGTGCGATCGCTCACCCAAAGAGGGTGGGTGACGAATAGATGGGGGATGTAGTAAAAGAAAGAGTGAGAGAGTGAGTGAGAGAGAGAACCAATAGCGTTAGTCATTCATTTCTACGCGTTTACGCATACTCACGCGAGTAATGCAGGAACAACCCTCGCGTGCAACAGTTAAACGTCGAGGTCTACTCGGTTATATGAATTTCGAGAACCACCTTTTGCCATATATACAACCACTGATTTTCAATCCTGTTTACTTATTATCATTCGTATATCTTCAAACTTTGTTTCTTTCATTTCCCTTTTTTTCTGCTTCTTCACATTCGTGAGTTATGAAGAAAATGATTTTAAAGAAACGTCTTTCGATTATTTTTCGTTATAGAAATATGAGAACAAATATGTTTCGTTTTTGTTATAATTAATAATAAATCGAATATTTAATTAGGGATAAGTTAGATCAATGAATAATAATAATATTAATAATTAACTCACCTCTTTGTCCTTTGCCTGCAATTCCTGTTCGAGATTGCTATTCGGAGTTCTCCTGGGATTGCTAGCATCGTGTTGCTGCTGATCGCTTCCCTGCGAATTCTGGGACAATTGATGTCCCTCAGTCTTAATGTTACCATCGTTCGCGTTTGCAAGTTGTTCCTTCAACGCGGACACTTCCTTCTCTGCTAACGTTGCCCTCTGAAACAAACAATTTTTCGAGATTTATAAAATATATCTTCTAAATTTATAATTATTAACAAATTTATTTCGATACGTTTGGAATCTTGTAATAATCAGTCTCAAATTATATGAGAAATCATTCATTTGTTGATCAATAAATTCTATAGATGAACAATATTATATTTCCAAAATTGCATCAGGATGCAAATTGATGCAAACGATATTAAAATTCTTAAAAATTGTCTTAAATATAAACTGAATAATTTCTATCATAACAATAGTAACGTCAAAATAGTGATATTGTTTTCTTGTTGTTTATAGTACGAGCGTATTGATAATCTTAAAGGAAAATATAAAAAAAAAATTGATGCAACATTTGTATATCGAACAAAAAAAAACTGGTGTGTGTACTTATGTATGCACGTAAGAAGTTCTACTTCTTTAGCGTACCAAAACGAACATAACCTAAATAACCTCAAAAATAACTTCAATTATCTCACGTACTAATATAATACTCCACATTTGTCGATAATACTATAATATGATAAAATAAAATGAAGATTATTAAATACCATTAATAAAATCTTTAATTAATAAGTACAATCTAATTTATTTATTAACGAATTACTTCATGTCGTAAATTTGAAATCGCTTTTCCCGCGCATCGTAAATATCGACAACTTCGTGGTGTCGATTTTTCGGTCGCATCTAACCTCACTTTCCAAAATCGCGCCAAAAGAAGTATAACTTCATAAATATTCTAAAAAAACTGATGTTCCAAGTATAGAAATTTTGTAATTCAAGACTGTGAGCGTAAAAGCGATCGATTAAACGAGCCGTAGGGGGAATAACGAAAGTTTCTCGTAGCAGTTAATAACAATTGTGACGCAAGTTCGAGTTCGAGTTTGAGAGAGAAAGAAAGAGAGAGAGAGAGAGAGTTGGCGTTTCGCGGAACGAAATCGCTTCCGCGCTAACGCAGGCACGCACACACACACAGAAACGTGCAGAAAACGAACATCGACACGGCTGGTAGCTGTAAATTTTCACGATTCTAGAGGCTACGGATCGTTCGAATTACCTACTACCGTTTAGTACCATGCGAAATTGATCGATTTCGCTTTCCTGACTCTAATTTCGTTAGGTACGATAAAGCATTAACTAAAATAGAAACTGTGTATCGTTTTATTTAACTTCTAAATTTTATAAATAAGAGTTATTGTTATACCTTTCGTAATAATTTAATTAACGTGCATTAATATTACGACTTTATTCACATTCTGATTTAGAAAAATATAAATATATATATATATTAATATATAAATTAATAATTCATTAGTTTCAAATATATCGAGCATATTATTCATTTATCGTGATTTCGATAAATACAAATTTTGATAAATATAACGTCATATTAATTAACAAATTGTATCCTTGACGATATCTTCAATATCCGGTTATCTTTTTAAAAATAAAATAAATTATTTCAAAATTGTCTTCAAACTTTTCCAGTAACTTCGTCTCATATATATATATAGATAATTTTATTTAACAAACTTTTAAATATTCATCTCGTCCGACGAAAAACATTATTTAAATATAGAAATCATTTCATTTGTTAAAAAAAATCATTAAATATTTATCTTTACGAATTTAAAATAAATCAATGAAAATTGTATCATTGAATAAACCTTTTTTCTTTTTTTTTTGAATAATAATACCTTAACCCTTTACATTTCGAATTATATTTCAATTTTATTACAAACAAAAGTGTGTTGTCATACTTGACATAAAAGTTGCAAGAATTAAAAACCAAAATCATGAGATTATGGTAAAAGAGAAAACGAGATGGACGTGTGAGTCTATGGATTAACGTTTTCCAAAAAAAAAAAAAAAAGAAAAAACAAAGTTTACTCAGTAAAGTATCTAATAAATATCGTATGGTGGTTCGGTACCTACGTCCCGATATTAATTATAGATGCTTTTATATTCAAAGTAGCTGAAGCTCTCTTTCTCTACCGATAGAAGGGAGAATAGGGGGGGTGGGGGAAAAAGAGAGAGTAGGAGCCACCCCTTAGCCCTTGGCCACCCTCTAACTTTAACAAAACCCCCACCCTCAACGTGCGGTAATTCCTGCCCCGTTTCGTTCCTGTCTCCACCCCTCTTTTACTTTTAACCAACCCCCCTCCCCTCACTTTGTATATGCATATTCGTGTATGTATGTATGTGTGTGTGTATAATATTACCCTCGTGTTCAAAACCTCTTCTTCGATCCTGCTGTTCCTATCGGTGAAAATTCGTAAATACATAAATACATGTGTATATATATATGTGAGTACGTGTGTGTTTGAAAGGGAAGCTGCACAAGTCCCGATCGATTGGTCGAATCAAACAGGTTACGGGAGACTCCTCGTGTTGTTCGTTCAAGGATAGAATGGTAGGGGAGAAACCAGATTCGCTTTGACCATCCATGGTTACCAACTAGTTTCTACTGACCCATTATGTATACATTCGCATATACTGCATTTACATTTTAAAAGGAAAAGTAATCAATTCATTCTATAACTATATATTTTATTTATTTGAATTATTTTAATATTTTTTTCGTCAAGATTTTATTTATTTATTTGTTTAAATATCGAATTGTATCAAATGAATTTTAAATGAATAGTCAACAATTTTCTATTGATCGGATTTCAAACAAAAAATTGTATTAATAATTTATTTGTCTTGTGTTTAAAACATTTTAAATGTATAAATTGGTTTTTTTTTTTATTTTATACGTTTAATAAAGTACAATCGATAAGATTTGTAATGGAAAGGTCAAAAGTTATATATAATACGATGTAGTATAATACGAACGTTAGTATAATACTCGATTGCAAGTTAACTTGCAATCGAGTATCGACCCTAAGTTGCTACGATTGCTAGTGAGGTTAAACGTATACTTTCCTACCTAACATTAACGCATACATATACAGGTAAATACATATGTATTGCTATTGGTAACATAGAGTACAGGTGCAAAGTTCCATTGATCTATTCTAACATTTGATCGAGAACGTTCATAAGTAAACTCCATTTCTCAAACACATCAAATGTAACAAAAGTCAGATATTTTATTATGCAATGCTTTTGTGTTTTCTTTTTTTTTTTTTTCAAATACTTCTATTCTACTTATTTTAATTATTACAAAAGAAAAAAAAAAACTCTTTACACACTTCGATTAATATTAGGTGTTTAATAATCGTTGCAAATGAAAATATAATCGTTGCAAATGAAAATGAATGCACATAAAAAAAAAAATAAAAACGATGAAAAATTATTTAAACCTTTGTTCTATCGTATGAGATTGTAGTTTTATTTTTTTCCCCTTTTTTATTATTTCTACACGCGTTATAATTGTTGTCATCATTATTATTATTATTAAATACAACGTAAACTGTTCGATACTACGATGCATGAGTGCGTCGACAGATATTATTAATTGCATATGAAAACGAAGAATCATTGAAACTAGATACTTATCAATGCAATCGGAGAAGGTCGAAATTCGATAACTCTCGACGTATTACAAATAAATATCTATGTAAGAACGATAATCAAATTCTAATCTCTCTCTCTATCTCTCTCTTACACCAATTATTATTATATCACAAACGAATATACTACCCCCCCCTCAACCTCTCTTATCGTTAAATAAATTACGGATTATAATTAACAATCAATTTATCGATTAAGAAAGAATAAAAAGAAAAAGTAATAAATCAAACGCAAACAATATTGTTGAAATATTTTCTTTGAAACATCGACAAGTCGTTATAAAAAAATAATTTAAACATTAATTATTATACGATTGATCGCGTGAGGAGGAATAAGAAAACAAAAGAGAAAAAAATTACAAAAGACAAAGTGATCGTTTGATGAATCATGGATGAACACGTATCACGAGGATCACATAAGTTGAAATAAAGAGTGGAACGGGGTGGAGGGGGGAATTGGGTGGAGAATTAAAGGAAACAAAACAAAAAGAAAAAATAAGAACGAAGAGGGAGAAAATATAAGACAGAAAAGAGATGTAAGTTAGTTACTCGGTAAGATCCGTAATGAGCCATTGTTTCCTGCAAAAAGCCTTGACGATGTTATCGATAATTACGAAATGATACGGGAAGCATAAATATATATCTCGAGTTTAGCGTACTATATATACCATGTGATAGGTAGAATTGTATATAAGTTTTAAATAGAGTTAATGGTACGACTGGAATTCGAATGGCGGATGCGTATCGATAGTTGTCGAGTTGCATCCTGCAATATTTGTCACGTGGGGCACGTCCGCTGAGAAAATAAGAAGAGAGTTGGGGAGGGGTAAGGGGTGGTAGTTGTAGTTGTAGTAAGAGAAAGATAGAATACAAGAAACACGATTAGAATCGATAAGATCAAACGATTTCTTTTCTTACTTCTAAACAATATTACTTGTTTTTCTAAAAAAAGTTTGAAATGATTTATGATATATATAATATTGATATATATATTATAAATTGACAGGTATCGTTTAATTAAATCGTTTGTATTATTATTGTAAGGAAACAAATTGATACAATTTTTAAACTTGATCTGTTTTACGTGACATTAGATTTTTTAATGATTTTAAGTATAGTATAATGTATTATACAATATCATCTTTTTCGTAAAACATTATTAAACATGTTGTATAATTAAAGTTATATTCTAGGTTCGATTTCATTCTTATCATAGACAAACAAGTAATATTTTGTTATTAATCAATGAAATTAATAAATAAATTTGTCACTTCTATTGTATAAGATATATACATTTGTCTAAATATTTTTTAAATGATTAAAATAAGGCATGATGTATTCGAGAGATGTGTATTAGTGTTTATTGAAAATTTCATTATTTTCGAATAATAAAGATGATTGACCAGTATATCGGGTGGAATCGGGTTGGATAATATTTTACTGTCGAATTCGTAATTACTTTAATTGGTTCCAGATGCT